ATGTCTCGTGTTTCCCACCTGGTTTGCCTTTAAAGCAGCGGGATAGCGGCATCCACACGACAGCAAGCAGAAGGGACGAGGCGAGGCGCAGGGCAGACCTCCGTGGCAATGAGAATTGCTTTCCTGAGCTTTTGATCAATTCTATTAACACTTTTAGCACCTCCAAGCCCACCCAGAGTCCCTGCTTGTGACAGCCCCATTAAGTGTTTCCCTTTGTCTTTATACGCTGTGTTACATCAAGCTTATTAAAATCTATTTCACCAGGTCAGAAAATTAGCGAGCTTCAGCTACAGCCCATCACGCATAATGGCAGCCTCATTAAGCAGCTCACTGCAGCTAGCCAAGGCACAATCACCTCCTGCTTAAAATGTACCGCGCGTGGCAAGGCTCCCTAGAATTCCCCACGTCAGCCACTGGAACGCACTCCACGCCGGATGCATGTTTGCAGATGGATGTTATTATGAACAAATACTTCTGCTTTGGAATTCCAACCAAACAATAAACCCCAAATAGAGTCCATTTCCACTCGGGCACTTCCACTTTATGCACAGCAAATGACCCATTTTTCAGCTGTTACCACTCTCAGGCCACGGGTTTTAAAACGAGAATGATGCAGTAATTACTTTATGCATCAGTGAGACAAAGCCTTGTTTGTCTCCAAATTATCATTCTGTGTTGTTTCAAGTGCAAGAACCCTTTTGAGGTTATTTCACCGTGCAGAAAACTGGGAAACTTCTCAAAAGCAAACAGTTTATTCTAAGAAAACTATTTATTCAAACAACCGCAAACCAAAAAGCCAAAGCTGGGAGCTGATGGAGTTTATTTACTCAGAAACTGCTCCCATCCTAGAGCAGCTTCAAGGCATCTGCCAGACTTCTGTGATGCGTCCTATGACAACGATGCCTCCCACCAGTCAAACTCAATATGTAATCTGGATTCTCCCTAATTTAGTCACTGGTGAAACGCAGAGAATTACAAGCTTGAAGTGAATGCAGCCGATGTGGGTGAAAGAGAAGCTGAACCAAGTCGCCTCCTGAAAGCAGTTCTGTTTAATACCGAGTTGAGCGCGCCGATGAAAGCATTTCTCATTTGAAAGCCCAAAGCCAAACGTTTGCTATTGATTTTTAATAAACCAGGTAAGGATAAATGAGAGGACGGCTGCAGGGGGAGGAATACCTGTGAATTCACTGCACCCGGGCTGCCAGGCAGCACAGCAGCTCTGCGCCTCAGTCACCTGCTGCTGAATGAACAAGGGCAGGTTAGATGGAACCACGTGAAGGAACACATACAAAGTTCAGCAAAGTGGACTGATTTGCTCCAAGCTTCATTTCGGCTGCTTCGATGGTACAGAAAATGAGCTATTTGGTTAAACTGCTCGGTTAAATTTTTATGAATGCCCTAAACTGGGTAAGTATTATTAAAAGACAGATCTTTGATGATGAGCAAAGGCATAGGAAGAACTAATGTCCAGAGGCTGAAGGTGGAAAAATTCAATGCAGACAAGAGGCAAGTATGCAAAAGAGAAGAGAATTAATCAGAGGACAAGCTTATCAGAGGTAGAGAAACTCTTCACAACCTATGTGAGTCGAAGGCACAAGTGAATGCTCCTGTCAGAGGGATGCTGCAGCAACAGCCACTGCTGGCAGACAGGGAGCTTCCCACTGCCTCGCTGGAGGAACTGTCCCTGGGGATTTCCTAATCCACGTCATGAAAAAGGTCAGGGGAGAGGATTGTGATGCTGAGGCCAGAAACCTTCAGGGCATCACTGCAGTGAGTACGTATTACTGCCTCTGGGCAAAGGAGGACTTGGAAGCTCAATTATCAGCTTGAAATGCTACCAAGTGTGCTTGAAAACCACTCACATTTCAATGTTTCTGTGCTTTAAGGAGAGGAATCTCCTTCACTTCTCTGCAACCCCCAGCTTTACAGTTAAAAGCTGTATCTACCAAGACATAAGGTGTAAAAGCAGCTAGCCACTGTGCTTCTGGCTAGCTCAGACACATGGAATCCTGTAGAGCAGAACTAGCGTTACCAGATCATGTTCTTCTTTCTATAGGGTTTATCCATGCTTGCTTTCTTCCATACATGTGTGTTCGCATTATGCCTCCTTATTCTTGTGACTAACCAGTCTCATTGCACTTCCCAGTTGCTGCAGCTGTGGCCTGTTCACAGCAGGAATCATCACTCAGGAGTTCTGGTGCTGCAGCATCACCCCAAAATGCAAAGAGCTCCTGAGAGAAGGGCAGGTTTGGGGGTTTTTATTCCTCTTCTCTCCTCCCTGTCCCTTTACGATCACTCATTTTCAGGGCAATGACCCTGAAGTTTTAAAGCCTGTCCCAAACTCCAAGCACGGATCAGTGAGCAGTTAAGAACAGGACAATCAGCACTGAAGTTCAATGTTCAAGATGTTCTTATTGCTCAAGCAGTCACCCAAGGTATCAGTAGAGAAAACCTAATGAAGGATCTGGGCAGCTTTGCTCCTTAGCCTCAAGAGCAGCCTTGCTCATGCAGAGAGGGCAGGAAAGGGGGACAGGGAGCTTTACTACTGGCCACACCCTGCTGCCATGGGAATGGGTGGAGGCTGGACCACTGACTCGGATCAACAGCTCATCCCTCACCTTCAATTCAACATCCAGCGACCATTTTAAGGGGTGGGGAAAATGGGTACAGAAAAAGGAATTTTGTGCAATTCTTTACATCACAAAAAATGCAGCTCTTCCCAGAAAAAAAGATGCCCAAGAGGCAAAGCTCATAAACTCTGCCTGGCCTCAGGGAACCCCTCCAGGTACCACTTTTTCCTGTGTCAAAACAAAAGCTTCTGTCACCTAGGCAGAACTTGAAGCAGCACCTTCTGGCTGGAAACTGATGGGTTTGCTATATTAATTTCTCAGCTTGCTGTCTGCAGTTCCAGCTGCTCCTCACTCCAGGGATGCACCTGCAAAGTGAATGGTCCCTCTTCAGCCTGCCCTCTGCCAGCAAACCCCCCCCCCCCCCAATCCTAATTTTAAATCAGGTCCAGTCTATGGGCTTTGTTCACACTGATGGAGGCTGAAACAGAGAGGTTGAAGAGTGGTGATTAAGGTGGTTCCAGCAGACTCAAATGCACTTTGTCAATGCACTTTTATGCCATGCAGATGCAGTAACATTTTAAGGGGAAAAAAACTAAAGCATGCAGCACAGGGATGGGCAGAGCAGATTTTAAGCAGTTAACGATTAGACAAAGGAGTGAGAAACATTCCCAGCTTTGCTCCACATCTCTTACTGTTACAAGGCTTAACCACCGGAACAGACAATTTAAAGTATCTTTTATATCTCTCCCTCCTATTTTGCAGCTGCCAGCAATTTCTCCTTCATTCTTAATGTTAAGTTTGACCATTAAGGTATCATGACCAGACAAACTCTGCTCCCATTACTAAATGTTATACAATCTTAGACTTGTGTAACGGCGCTTTAAATGAGTGCTTTACAGAGCTGACTCTTATTAATACTGACTTCATTACTCCCTACTGGCAAAGGAGCCACGTGTAGGCAGCATCTCCACTTTAAGGTCGCTTTACATCACCACAGTGGCTAGCTGGGTGCTTCTGCACATGGGAATGTGGCTCTGGGTCATTGAGGCACCATGTGCATCACACTGGGAGCCAGACCTTGGCTGGTGACTCACAGCTAAGTGCTGTGTGGGCTCTGGTTTATGCTCCTTCCAAGGGGTCCAACTCCTGGACCCTGCCAGGCCACACTCAGCAAGGCAAAGCTGCACCTCCTCAGTGTGGCCATTGCTCTGTGCCACCACAACCTGACACAGGGGATGGTAAGCTCTGCAGTATGCTGATGCTACAAACTGCTCCTCTCATTCCCCCCTGCACTCCCTGTAACAGGTTACTAACCACTAGTGAGACCTGCAGGAGCCTGGTCTCATACTGCTGGGTGCCCTGCATAACAGATACAGGAACTTCCTTACCTCCCCTCTTCTCAGTCACCATGAAAAAGAAGCCTTAAGCATGTCATTACTGTAATAATTACCCTTTTCTTTGGTACCAGCTCCTTTTCCTCACTCAGAAAATAATGATTAGACCTACCAGGCAAGCATCACAAATAACTTCCACACAAGAACACCTCCTGCCAGCCCCTATGGCTGACAAGTCAACACTTTGTGACTGCCATCAGGAAACCAACCAAATTAACCTCTACAGTTTAACAGAAAGATGGTCTTAAACACTCTTATAATAACAAAACCCATCAATTTAGACTTCAAACTGGTCTTGTGTGGTTTTCACAGCACCAGGCACTGCAGGAGCGTGACCCAAGGCTGGGCTCTGCACACTATGGAAGACCAGCATTAATAATCAAGTGTATTTCCCCGAGCTCTCAGAAGTTTGTGGAAATACCTGGTTTTTCCCACCTCTCCCCACACAAAAAGGTTTTAATCAGCTTTAACAAACAGACAAGCAAACAAACCTTTAATTAAAATACCCCTAATATTAAATTCCTGAGCTGAAGGCTTCTAAATAGCTTTGAGAATCCCTGAACATCCAGGTAACGATGCAAGACGGGATAACTGAGAACCCCGGCTGCCACTGCAGCCAGGGCCCCTCACAGCGACAGGAGTCACCCGATTTTCCTTTCAATTTCCAAACAGCAGGAACAGATTCCTGCCCTTTAGTACTGCAGAGCTGGCCACAGGGGTTTCTAATTTGCTTATGGGTTTGATGCTTAAACCCACCTCGGGCGCTGGCAGGGTCTGCGCTGACCGCAGTGGTGCAACACTTTAACTGTGACCCAGCATCACTCCTCTCCCCCAATTACAAGAGCACTGGGTTTAGTTTTTGCTGTAAACACACCTCGTACGTAACTGTTCGTCTGCAGGTTCTTCAAACACCGGGTCACACACTGTGAGTGATGGTTGTTTTAGTCTTTTATTCAACTGTCATTGGTACTGGTTATTTGGTGCGTCCAAACCAATATATGAAACCTGCAAGCTAAGAGAGCAGCAACACAGCACAGCCGTTGTAAACAATTTATTATCGTTTTCTACCTCAGGTACTTACAGGAGAAAAGGCATAAAAAAAAACCAACCAAAAAAAAAAAAGAAAAAAAAAAAAAGAAAAGCACAGATGGACTATTTACAAAAAATGAGAAAATTCACAACAGCAGAAATGTTTGCAAATCATGCACACCAGGACAAGTTCACAAAAGCAAAGCAATTCATAGCAAAAAAAAACCCAAACAAAATAATAAGAAGCCATACAGATTAAAGAAAAAATGCTATTGCCTGCAGGAAAGTCAAAAGAAAACTACCCAATTATTACATCAAGCATCTTTAATGAAATGAACAGCACAGCCGTGTATTGTAGAGCCTTTGACACTGACATTTTGAACAAGTGGATTAACAAACATTAAAATGCATTACAGTTCTACTGTAAGCATGCAATTTACTTCTCACAAACTTATGAGATGGGTAGAAACACTTCAAGAAAACCAGCATTTAAATAAGATGTGTGTTTGCTACCCAAATGTCAGAACCTGGTCTTGTTAATGAAGCCAATGGATGGAGCCATGGCCGCATGGGCTTGCGGCTCCTCTGAGATTTGGGTGGAGATGAAGAGGTGCGATACAGCTGAAGCTGGCAGGGGAGAGCTCATCCCATGGTTTGCAAGCAAAGGCTGGAATTAGAATCAATCACACAGAGAATGGGGGAGCATCACTGGTGACAAGGCATTGGACAGGGCAGCAGCTCCCCAGGCCCCGGTTCTGATGGCTTCTAGCAACCTCCTCTATTGGAAGGTGTCCCTGCCCGTGGCAGGGGGTTGGAACTGGATGAGCTTTAAGGTCCCTTCCAACACAAACCATTCCATGATTCTATGATGATTATGAGAGCTCTAGAAAGAGCCAGCAACCAAAGGGAACGGAAGAGGAGAAACCACATGTGGGTCTGCTGCACCCACAGCCACCAGTCACAGGGTCACACCTGCAGGCACAGGACACTCATTTTGAGCAATTAAACCCTGTGTTGCTAACGATCCTAGTGACAGGAGACGCTGGTGATGATTTGTGCTACTGCTCAATGTCGCTGTGTTAACAGGAGCCAGTGTCCCTCTTTGGGGCTGTTTGTGAGACCCCCATCATTGTGTTTTGCTTCCATGATAAAATCACTTCTAAGAAGTTTGTGAGAAGTCATGCCTTCATAACGCCCCTGATCCCCATCCTTGTGAGTTACATTCCAAGTGGGCATTATAAACTCATCACAAAGCAGAGGAAAAAAAACCCAATAAACCCCAAAAGGAAATAAAAAGCAAACTCAAAGCAGTGAGGATATGGAGCCTTTAAAAAAGAGAATTTAAGAGTCCAGTCATTCAAACCAGCCAGTAAGAGCAGCAATTTTTCAGTGGACATTGATATTAAACATGGACCACCCAGGCTTTGTCTCGCTCTCATTAGCACTGTAGTAAACCCCGATTAATTTGTTATGCATCTTTAAGAACTAGTTGATAAAAATTATGTCTTGTGAAATCGGCAAATAGTCTGCAAAGTGAAATAAGAACAGAAATTAATAGATTAAACTGAAAAGATAAGTCCCAGAAATTAAAAAAAAAAAAAAAGACACAGAAAGGGAGTGTTTGCAATAAAAAAAACAAAGAAAGAAAAGAAAAGGCTTTGGACTGAGTTATAGAGGAAAAATAGCATGATGAGAGGAGACACAGCAGTCACCAAAGCGATCGTGTGCGTCTCACCCGTGCAGACAGGGAGCAGAGGAGGATGTGGGATTGGACCCATCCAGGGGACCTGCCAGCAGCCCCAGTATGGAAATTGAAATGCAAATAGATGGATCATGACATCTGTACCCTCGCTGCACTGGGACAGTGGTGAGCACCAGCAGGACAGCTCAATTCAGATGGGCATTCCAGTTGGGACTTTGATCAATGAAGTAAACGGGCAGCACAACGCGAGGAGGACCTGGAGTAACACCCAGCGGCAGGCGAGGAGCCTGCGGGCTGGTGACTGCCCCCAGCACAGCCCTATGATGACACCCCCCGGGGACAATGAACCCCCGCCAGGACAGCCAGGTGCCAGCCCAGGCTGGTGTACTACAGGGCTCACAACACAACTGCACTGCAGCAGAAAGCACGGCCAGGTCTCCGTAAGGAGCCTCAGAACACAGCTCCGTACCTAGATGGTATTATTTTTATATCTACACTTATCATACACATCAGTGCAGTCGCAACCCCACTGCTGGTCAGGCACCGTGGAGCTGGGAAGCAGGCAGGGCTGCCTGGGCTGCTCCTGCAGGAAGAGCCAAGGATTTCTCTTTTCCTATCAGACACGGGGCATCTCGGTGGACGGCTCATTGAAACCACAGATTTCTCTCAGGTTCACACATGCTCCTATCTCACACCCTGAGCCACAGTCGTGCCGTGGGTGCCACGGGCAGTTCTGCAAGTGCCAGAACACTGTAAGGGAAGGGTTGGGGTGTTCAGGCTCTTCTGAGGTGGATGACTACGTGCTGGAAGCACGCTCAAGCTGTTCATCCCATAGCACTAAGTGCCTTTCCCCATGGCTGGTCAGTCAGGATGCCAACTCCATTCCTTCCCATGGGTGTCTGGGGGACGAGTAGGTGCTGGATGCCACAGGACATGGCTCCCTCCAGCAGAGAAGGGTGAAAGGGGAGTGGCAGAGCCCCACAGACAGCTAGGACACAGCACGACACAACCATGCGAGTGGCACTTCCACTGCCATTCCCACTGCAGGCGTGAGCAGCAAGTGCTGGCACATCCCCATCCTCAGCTCCTGACTTGCTCCCTGGGCACCCTGAGCTATGCTCCCATGGCACAGGGCTCTCTGCTGCCAGCATTCCTCCCTCCCAACACCTGGCTCCAGTGAGCTCACCCCATCCTGCTGATGGGCATCAAACCCTTCACACTATGCCTCTGGCCAGGCTCCTGTGCACTGCACTGCTCTGACAGGTCATGGCTCTAGAGACCAGAGTCCCACATCACCTGGGACAAACCACCTAACCATCCTGTGACTGGTTCTGACTGCTGTTAAGGAACAAAGAATTTGAGTGGGAGTGGAGCAAATCAACATGGGCAGAGCAACAGGGCAGGGAAATCCAAGCAAGGCAACAGAGGACTGTGAGCATCTCCCCTTGGCTGCCCTGCTCCTGAAGGCACAACTGGTGCCTGCAGGTGGGTGCACCTCCTTTTCAGTGCTGACAATCCACTTGGGTTTTCTCCTGCCTATCCAGTCTCTGCAAGAGACTAAAAACAACCAGCAAATAACTGGAAAGCCTGATTTGAAAAACAAGGCCCTTATCAACACGAGGGCTAGAGTCAAACGGTGCCTCTGCTGTCAGCCAGCAGACACGCTCGTTTTAGACATGTTTATAATTAAAGTCGTCTAAAAGCTGCTGATTTTCATCATTTAACTTATCAAAGGTGCCTCTAATTCAGCTGTCTTCATACGAATCAGCTGCTACAAGGAAAGGAGGAGGAAAGTGTGAGACAACATGTGAATGCCTTCTGAAACCTCCTCTTTAATTCAACTAACGCTGCACCCTGCCAGCCTGGACCTCTGCCATCCTCTTGTCTCGAAGCTGGCTCCGACTGGGAGGGTGTAGCAGGGGTGGGAAAGAGGCAGATGAGCTTTAAGTAGAGCATTTGTGAACGGAAATGGCAATAAGAACCAATCCTAACAGCACTGCCTCCTCTGGTGTTATCAGTCCTGCAAAACCCAGACACTACCGTCCCAAAGACACTGTTTGTCCAATGGATGTAAATAACACGCATGCTTCCAACACAGTGTTTTATCCTAATGACCCAAAGCAAAACATGAGGCTGCATCTTGGCCCCAGTGGGCCATGGGTAGAGCCCAGCATCCCTCCACATCCTCACCCACCCTAAAGGACCTTCCCATGAGGGTGTTCAGCCCCAGTTCGGTCCCACTGCTGCGGCTGCTGGCAGCCACATCAAGGAAAGGGGCAAACCAAACCAGAGCCAAACTGAACCATCAGCACACAGCTAGAAACTGCGAAGGACACCAGAGGTATTGATAAAGAACACAGGAAGGTTGGACTTTACACTCCAAGACTGCATTTGTAATAAATACACACTTACCAGAGGACAGAATGGGAATGTGTGTGAGAGTTTGTGCGTGTATCTCTATAATATACATGAAAGTAAAAACCCATCAAAGGGAGGGTAATAGCTCTTAAATTATCTCTGTTTCTGTATGTTTTAAGAAGTTTGTTTTCAAATAACCAGTACCAATTTACACGTTAGCAAAAAATGGATTTAAAGGCTGTATATATAGATGTCTATTTTAAAATAGCAAGAAGATCTGCTGGTGTGTGAGATGCTCCCTGCAGACTTGCCTGTCTCAGCTTGCAGCTATGGAGTTAAAAAGACAGGAGAAAAAGAAGAAAAGGAAGGAAAGAGGGGAACAAAGTAAATCTGGAAATGAAATGTACATACCTGGGAACTGATAGCTGTAACTGGGGGCAAATCCGGGATATCCTCGGCCATACGTTGCAACAAAATTTGGGTAACCTTGATCAAATGCACAAAAAGAGAGAAAGAAAGAGAAGTTTGAGGATTAATGAAGGTTTTTTGTTGTTAAACACAATGCAAGATGACATGGAGGATGGGTGAGGCGATGCTACGGAACGTTATCAAACCCCCAGATTTATTCTGCTCGTGCCAAGCTGCCAAAGGTTTGGGTATTATCTTGAACAGAAACCCCTGGAGCTGGCTGCCCTCCCTGCTCGCTAACTGCTGGGCTCTGTGCACGAGACCTGTCACTCAGGTAATTAACATGCACTTTGGTATCTCAAGTCCAAGGACTGTGCATACTTGTTAGCTGGAAGAGTAAATGCCAAATGCTAAGGCTAAACACATAACACAGGTTTGCTCTGACATTTGGAGAGCTTACAATGAATGTACTTTGCTTCAGAGCTATTGACAGTTGGAGATTAAGGTAGTAGTAATTCTTTATCCCGGGAGTGTGAAGGACAACAGTTAACACATCAAGAGTTGGAGGCAGCCACAGCAATGAGCCAAGGGAGTCAAAGAGCTTTTAATTTTTCAGGAAAGTAAAAACCCATGAGAAGTGCTTCTGAGATAGGCGCAGAAACACATCCAGCCTCGGACAGCTTTTGAGCTTTATCATGAGAATATTGGTTAATAAAGATGCTCGAGTTACTGCACCAGGGCCAGGTTGGACGGGGCTTGGAGCAACCTGCTCTAGTGGAAGGTGTCCCTGCCTGTGGTGGGGAACTGGATGAGCTTTAGGGTCCCTTCCAACCCAAACCACTGGAGCCCAGGCACACGTTTAGCAGCCGAGCGGCTCTTCTGGGGGGTCTCCTATCTCTGCTTTTATTTCTTCTTTAATCCACTCGTACATCACACAGCTATTCTTCTGCCGCTGCGAGTCCCTCCGCTCCTGATGAGATTTATCCATACATACAACATCCTATTAATCATAACCTAAAACCGGAAGATAAAAATGCTTGGATGAATTTTGATTACGGGATTAAGCAGTGCCAGGGGAAAGCAGCCCCACCATCCCGGACAGCACGCGGCGGCTTTCAGCGCTGTGTACACACTGCTTAGCCCCTGCTTATTTATTTCACAGCTCAACAGCTGGATTCCCTTAGAAATTAATCACCTCTGTCATTAAATCAGCTCTTTCGGAGTTAAGCTTTACAGATCTTTTCTCCTCTTTCTTTAAAAAACAACAATATTGATAAATGGATTGTCTGCTCAGTACGCAGCGCCATTAACAGCGCTGCGAGCCCCACCAGCAAAACCACCTCCGTCCTCTCCGAGTGGCAACCACGCAGTTTTGGTGTGATCCAGCTAACTTCAGGAGCTGGCAGTGGGGTGCAGGATGCATCCCTGCCGGGATGCTGGTGGCAGCGCTGCCTGGGGGGGCTCTCGCCTGCATCGCCAGCGCTCCGCGCGCTCGAGGTCGGGCAGATGAAATCATAAATTTATAATACAACATTACTTCAATTTTCCTCTTCATTTGCTGCTGCAGTGCCCAGCTCTGCTCTAACGAGTCAAAGCCTGAGCCGCGCAGGGGAAATTGCCTGGCTGAATATCAATAGCGCATTAACACCATGCCCATGTGGATGCTTCATCAAGCCAAATTATGGCCATGCTGACCTACCCACCACTCCCATTAGATGCCATTCTCTCATCCTGCACTGGGCACTGAGCAGTTTAGTTGCTTCAGTAGTCCTGGGGAATGATCAGTCTGTAATCGTCCCTTGTTGCTACACCAAAACCCCAAGTTTTGCCTGGATTACCTCCTCCGAAGTGAGACCCTCCTGAACTCCAACCAACAGCCAACCCTGCTTTCCCAGCATCACTTCCACCCAGCTCCGACCCCAGCGGCAGCAGGTCCGATGCACCCACCCTGCAGGCTGGGTGACCTTCACCCCACCATGCTCTTGGTGGACAAGGATCCTGGGAAGACAGGAGACCCGAGCTGGACTCCTGACTCCCCGCTATCCCACCCTCTCCAAAGCTGATCTATCTCCTGCTCCACGGGAATTAAAGAGCAAGGCTGAGGCTGTGTTTGTGGGTGCTGCTGTGGGAGCTTGGGGGGGTCACTCAGCTGTGCCAGCCCCCAGGAATCCAGTGCTAACGAAGGGCTCCCCATCCCAAATCCCGCCTCAGGGGCAGCTGCTACTCTATTAAACACCGCCTGATGGAAAAAAGGAATGACTTTCTTTGAAGGGCACAAGCTTCTTTTATGCATGAGTTCAGCCTACCTAGACTGTGTGCAGTAACACAGAGCCTGCTCTGCCTTGAGCAGGGATAGAAGGAGCCTGGTGGAGACCTGAAATCTGGTGTTCATACAGACGCTGTTTCGGCTGTCCGGGAGTGCAAGCTTTATGGGCCGAGTGCTCCTGTCCCTGGAGGGGTTTGCAAGTTAAAAAGAGCCCAACTTTAATATTAAACACCAGTGGGTCCAAGACGCCCATCGCCAGAAGAAGTGAGTCCTGTGGGGCCCCAGCTCAGACTGAGCAGTGCTTCAGCTGCCTCCAGAGCTGAACCCCATAACAGCAACTGTGACGTCCCACAGGGAACTGCTTCAGATGGGAGGGGAGACAGAGACAACTCCTATCAACACTGCTTCTCAGTTGCCTTCTTTTCTTTTTCCAAGTTTTCAGTCCTGAATGGAGGGGCAAAAAGCCATGGGGCAATGCAGTGACACCTGCATGCCCTTCGGTGACAGAGGTGAGGCTTCTGGGCACATGGCAAGCTTCTGGACCACCGAACATCCGCCGCTCAGCCGCAGGTGCGTGTCTCGCCTGTGAGGGGGGATACGGGGCCTCTTCACCAGCATCCCTGGTGCTGGGGAGCAGCTCTTCAGGCCGGGTGGGCTGCCAGGGAGACAGAGGTCCTGGAACTGAACCCACGCCAGCCTGTTCTTTATGCAGAGTGGCTAATGGACGTCCCTGGTCTCCCCTGAGCCTGTGCTTGTCCCCTCAGCAGACAGAGCCCGAGACAGCCCAGGAGCAGCCCTGGCAAAAGGCTGAGCCTGCCCACGCTCTCCGAGTCAGAAAATCCTTTCAGAAGAACACTTTAATTTTGTTCCAATCAACCAAATCATCACAGAAGCGGCTGCCTACGCACCTTTAGACCCCGGCTGCTGCAGGCTCCTCGGGGAGGCTGTGATTAATGAAAAAGACCAACTTCCTTAATAGCTTCGGAGGGAGCCGCTCCCCGCTCTTTCCTTCGGGCTGTCTTGTGCGTTCGTTCCTGCCATCCCCTCCTCTGCCCATGAGCAGCATCTGGGGAAGGTGACCTTGAACAAGGGCTTCTGGAAACAGGTATATAAATCCTCCACGAGCAGCCCCACTCGCTCCGTTTCAGTCCAGCAAAGGAGGAATGGGGCAGGGCTGGCACCAGCCTCCCGGGATCCTTGGCTACTACAGACGCTGCCTCCGGTGGGACATTACTTCGTGCATCTCATCACTTGATGGGTTAATTACCCCCTCTCCCTGTGGAATGGGGCCCTACCTCAAGCAGCTTCAGGGCTTGGGAAGGAGCAATCGCTGTCCCTCATCCCCCTTCCCAACACTTGGAGGCAGCCTTTGAAAACGGGGCTTTATAATGGCCATCCAGACAGCTTCGCTTTTGTGTGTTGTGATTTCCTTGTGCAGCACTTAATTATTTAACACGGTGCCACTGTAGCAAAGCAGGAACTTGGAAGATGAAAAAAACAGCTTGAGCAGATAATGAAGCATCTGGCCTTCAACATGAATCAATCATTAATTCTGAGCAAGTCACTCTCATTTGCAATCTAACCAGTGTGCTGTGAGAGCGGCCGGAGCAGGGCTGGTTGGGGTGACCTGACCCACCCCACTGCAATGGGACAGGGATTTGCCAAGGGGCACCTAAATTGCTGGCTCTGTGCAGATGCAGATCTGCTCGCTGAGGGCTTCTTCCCTTACTTCTTATGGCTTGAAATGATATTTTTCCAGTGTGCCATCCTGGTGGGAATCACACTGCACCAAGGACTGAATTTTCCCTTCAGGTCACTGGGGTGGACTCTGGCTCCATTCACTCCTTGCCCGGCTGGAGGGAGAAGGGGGAGGGATCCTGCCCTGGGTCGTTCGACCTGCTCAGGGTGACCTGGGCTCTCTCCTCCACCACCTTCACTACCCCAAACCTCAGGCACCGCGAGTGGTAAAGGCAGAGAAACAAGAGCAATGAAGTGCCTATGCTCCAGCACCCTGGTACATGCAGGCCACCAAATCACAGGTTGACGAGGACAAGATAAATATTTTAACCATAAAATGCAATTTCCAAAAACTATGGGGCAGGGTGGTGGTGGAGTGTGGGGACAGAAAAACAGATGATCAGTGGAAGTAACTGAATTACACAGCCCTGAAATGGATTGCTCCAGCCACGCGAACAGAAGCGCTATTAATTCAGAGATAAAGCAAATAAGGCAGGGAAGTTTTCCCTATCAAATCAAGCGGGGCCTGAAGTCAGATGTCTCAGTGTAACAGCCTGATCCTCATAAAACAGTCTCCTCTGACCTGATGCTCACTCCAGAAGCTTTGGGATCCTCCAGCATCTCAGCCAGCCCATCTCAACCTGCTTGGCAGAGCTCAGGACAACCAAGCACCAGCTTTCAAGGCTGGTTTTTATGCGTGAGTTTCTGGGATCATCTAAACCCAGGACAGAAAACTCAAAGCATCCCAGAGAGGCTACATATGAGGGACACCAGCCTGAGAAAGGCTCATTCCTGCCTGGGAACACCTCCAGATGCCCTCTTGTTCATGCATGCCTTATGGAAACAGAGGGTGCCAACCAAGGGAAAGTCCAGTGATACGAATAGAGCAGGAGGCTGAAAATGCATGGGGTTGTACAAAAGTACATTGGCAATGGATTAGCAGCGTTCTGGCTTAGCAAATCTGAGCAGAGAGCATCAAGAGGTTGTCACGTTATAAAGAAAGAAGAACTATCCAGGCAGAAACAAATGAGAACCAACTGTAAGTAAGCAGACCTTGTGCACAAATAGAATGTTGCCATTAAATATCATTTATCCCATTTAATTGGTATTTCCTGGACACAATACTCTGGACTAAAATACCATTCCATCGCCTTCAAACTTGTAATTACTGTGGTGCCCTGCACTGGTGCGCTCCTCCCTGCTCTCCCCATCCTGCGGGCCATGGAGGAGCCGGCAGGATTTTCAATTACCTATGCTGAGCTGTCAGAGGTACCTTTAAAAGAAGGGGAATAATGTGTGACTCAATTCCTCTAAAGAAGGGGAGAGATCATTTTTAGTCAGAATGAACACCCTGCGTCTTTCATCATTCTATTTTTGCCAGGAAGAGTAAAACAGCCTCTTTAAAACATCCATTTAAATGCAAATTTCTATATTCCAGGAGCGGGGGGGGGGTGTGTGTTAATCATTTACCACAGACAGGATCATTCTCCCCACTCCATCCCTACTGAAGTTCTAGACCCGCACCCACACGGCTGCAGGGATCTGCTCACCCCTATGGCTTAAGGGTTCAGGAAGCAGGGAGAGACACAACACGGGAGCCGCTGGCTGCGGGAGACGTGTGGTGGCCACGGCACTTACCCAACATTCCCATCCCTAGCATAAAAGCGTCCATGGTATACGGTAATCCACGCGCCCTTCCTCTCGTCCCTGGCGGAAACATCACTTCTTTAGGTTGTGCTTTCTTACATTCTACCTATTGAGCAGAAACATGTACAAATGAGATGCAAATGAATTCCATGTAAATGTCAAATGCAGAACTGATCTACTTAAGGGGGTGGGAGGTTTATTTTTAGCATCTGCCTCCCCACACCGCCTCCCCCCCTCTAAGGTGAACTTTAAGAATAGCGCAAACGGATTTAGAAGAGCAAACGTGTCTGTCTCTTTAAACACACAGAGCAAACCCCACTGGAAAGATGACAGAAGTGCTGATTTAAGAAGTTCCTGAAAGGAAAACCTGGGCTGCGTTCCCTTCTCAATGGCACTCGCGGGAGTGGAATGAATGGAGGGAGGTCTCCAGCACAGCTCTATTGCAATCGATAACAGAAAATGACTCTCGGTGATCATTACAAAAAGCTCCTTTTAAAATAGGAATAAAGAATCGATATTTCTACCCAGCAGAAAATTTCTGTAAACCCTATTAATAAATGCTCTGCATTCTTTCACTTCCACTTGCTCCTGCTGCCTTCTGAAGTTGCTTAATGCCACTCAAAGCAATTGCGAGTCTCCACCAATGCCTTGGGAGAGACAGCAATGCAGGCCAACCAGCACCAGGACACCCAGGAGCCAGCAACCCCACCAGGTCATGGTTCCCAGCCTCTCCTTGGCTAGGGAAAGGGAGAAATAAAGCACTTTCCCATGTTTTCCAGCTCCGGCACCACCAAGTTGCCCCCTGCAAGCAGACTGCCTCTGTGCCAGTAAGCTGCTCTGGAACTAACCAGTTATCCCAACCCATTTCTATGGCTCTACACCTTGCTCTGAGCAAAGGGTAAACCCTGCAGGCGTACAGTGCAGCCCTGCATGGGATGCAGAGAATCTCCAAGCCGCTGCCTGCCCCATCTGTATGGTTGGCACAATGAGAATTGCTGCTCTGAGGTTAAGGGTATTACCCTGAATGCAGAGGTTTGAGCCTTATGCCTTTAATTTTGCTCTTCAATCAGTTCTTGAACCCTCTTTGCACATTTAGGCACCCCCCATTCCTTGCCTGGCCAGAGTGGGGGCAGAGTGGGATCATCACCAGCCTGCAGACAAGGGCTTGGGAACGGGGCTGCTCTCTGTGCCTCCTGTATCACCTCCATCACTCGCACAAGCAGGCAACCACCCCAGGCAAAGCTGGGATGCAGGATAATAGGTGCCTAATAGCCCGATCAGTGACTGTGTGTTCATTGTCTTATGAAAACCAACCGCCTGTTCCTAGGCAACCTGATCAGTGGAAATTCCAGGTTTATACAATTTTCATTTAGGTAACATAAAGGTTAACTGCCTGTAATGGGAGGATTTTAAACAAAACCACCTACTCCTCCTCCCCGCTGCACATCTCCACAGACCGTATTTACTTCACTTGCTTGCAACACTTCCCGAAGCTACAATGCTCAGACACTGCCAGTGCTGTCAAAACACACTCTTCTTGCACGCAAACTGCCCCAACCCAGTGAAGTTTGAAGCAAAATTCTTCTGGAGTTCCTCTTTCGCCATTTCTCTGCCAAGAAGCGTTTGGATCCTTGCAGGAGGCAGCGGGATAAGAGCAGAGGGGGACAAAGGTTTCCTCTGCCTCCTCTTCAGTGCTGTTGGGGTAGCAAGACCTCTAGGAGAGAAACACCCCAGCAAGGGTTGTGGTGAGGACCAGTGCGTGCTCCTGGCAGGGTCACCAACCTGCACATCACCCCTATCCCCTACACACACACACACGTACAGATTCCATGCAGACACGTGGCAATGCAGATACACTACTGAGTGTGCAATGGAGACCCCCAAGGTGCCCCACAGGGTTCCTAAGCCCTAATATTAAGAGAAAAGAAAGGAAAGAAAACTTCCATGCAATGATGTAAGTGGAGGTGCTGCTGTCAGAGCAGGGATGGGGACAAGGACAGTATGGGATATGTGTGCTTAGCATCCAGCTCCATCACTATCCTATAGGGATGAAGCCTACAGAGCTTTCCAGGGAGCCTTAAGCCTGAGCCTTGATGGTTGAGTTTCAGCCTAATCGGGCTGTGTGCCTCCCCCAGAAGCCCCACAGCCCTCTCCATCAACCACCCCGAGAGCTCCAGGCCACACAAGCTCCAAGGCTGAGCACCAGCACCAGCCTCCTCTCACCAACACCACACTGCCTCAAACCGTCCTTCGCTTATTTGGGATCACACTGGGGTCATTTCACGGGAGCAGCCCATCTGATTTCTGCAGCACCACAAGTGTGTCGTTTCATTTCACAACTGCATCTCTGTGGGCTGGCCGTCACGCGCAGCGCCGCGGCAGCACCGGTTACACCTCGTGCTGCAGACGGCCGGGCTGACAAAAACAACACAGCCTGCCTCGACTGACTAACAGGAAAACGAAGTTTGGATTAGCACCGTCAGAAACAATAACCCAGTAATTAGCTTCTGCAGCCACGGACCAGCCTACCCCTGCTCTCTGAAGGACCAGCCTGATCTATGATTTTCACAGCACACAGGATATAAAGGGAATGGCAGTGAGCCGCAAAGGAGTTTTACCTGGGATTTAAAGGGGAAGGGAAAGTCACCAGTAGGGAAGAAAAATAATTCCTAAGCCTCTGTAAACACATTTACCCCACATCGAGGGCAAACATATTCTGTTACCCAGCAGAGACTATTCCCTCCTGGGAGGGATGAAATGCAAGACAGGGGAACAGAAGCCCTGTCCCTCAATGCCATCCCTTGGGAAGGGGCTGCATGACCCCATCCACGGCAGCACATCTGGGGTAGATTTTCACATTCTCTATTCAGCAATGTCAGGCCTAGGGGTGCTCTTCAGAAGCTGCTCAAGCACCATTCCATCGGCAAACAGGGGAAAAGCAGCAACAGGAGGTGCAGCCCCACGTTAGTCAGCAACGTGGTGGGTCTGGATGGTGCCGCTACACCAACAGAGCAGGAAAAGGGGAAAAATAGGGCCCAGGCTGCTTTTGCGCGAGAAGCCATCCCACTCCTTCATGGGGCATGGGATGGAGATGCCCATAACCATCACACAGCCATGAGGGTAAAACCCTGGAGGCAGCAGGGACATCCCAGTGTGCCGGGGTGTGCAACAGGGCTTCTCCAACGAGTGGGGTCCCTCAGGGATCGGTGCTGGGACCGGTCTTGTTCAACATCTTCACTGCTGACATGGACAGTGGGATTGAGTGTGCCCTCAGCAAGTTTGCCGATGACACCGAGCTGTGTGGTTCGGTTGATACCCTGGAGGGAAGGAATGCCATCCAGAGGGACCTTGACACGCTTGTGAGGTGGGCTGATGCCAACCTCATGGAGTTTAACCATGCCAAGTGCAAGGTCCTACACCTGGGTCGGAGCAATCCCAGGCACAGCTACAGGTTGGGCAGAGAAGAGATTCAGAGCAGCCCAAGGAGAAGGACTTGGGGGTGTTGGCTGATGAGAAAATGAACATGAACCGGCTTCAGTGTGCGCTCACAGCCCAGAAAGCAACCGTATCCTGGGCTGCATCAAAAGGAGCGTGACCAGCAGGTCATGGAGGTGATCCTGCCCCTCTGCTCTGCTCTTGTGAGACCTCACCTGGAGCATTGTGTGCAGTTCTGGGGTCCTCAACATAAAAAGGACATGGAACTGTTGGAACAAGTCCAGAGGAGGCCACAAGGATGATCAGGGACTGGAGCACCTCCTGTATGAAGACAGGCTGAGGAAGTTGGGGCTGTTCAGCCTGGAGAAGAGAAGGCTGCGTGGAGACCTCAGAGCAGCTTCCAGTATGTGAAGGGGGCCTATAGGGATGCTGGGGAGGGACTCTTCATTAGGGACTGTAGTGACAGGACAAGGGGTAACGGGTTAAAACTGAAACAGGGGAAGTTTAGGTTGGATCTAAGGAGGAAATTTTTTCCTGTTAGGGTGCTGAGGCACTGGAATGGGTTGCCCAGGGAGGTTGTGAATGCTCCATCCCTGGCAGTGTTCAAGACCAGGCTGGACGAGGCCTTGGGTGAGACGGTTTAGTGTGAGGTGTCCCTGCCCATGGCAGGGGGTTGGAACTGGATGACCTTAAGGTCCTTTCCAACCCTAACTATTCTATGATTCTATGATTCACGAGTCCATGCTCAGCTCTGTACATAATCACCCCCAAGAGCCTGCCCGACGTGGGCTCTCTGTACATAAATCTGTCTCTTGCACAAACTTCCAGTTCAGCATTTCTGTACATCTTAATACCTTCCAGGTTCCCTGCACGAGGGATGTGCCTCGCTTGAGCAGCCCAACAAAGAAAGTTTTAACTCTAAGGCTAAGAAAATAAGGCAGGGAAACTAAAATTCACTATTTTTGTTTAGTCTACTTTGGAGAATGAACGTTCCACTGGGGTACTCTTGGGTGAAGCTGAGCAGTCAAAGCCACTGGAACCAAGGACAGCTGAGATGGAGAGTGAAAAGCCTCTTATACCCAGCGCAACAAAACAGGCTGTCAGCTCTCAGCACCAGGATGTCTCAAACCCCCATGGCTAAAGCTTTCCAAGGAAACCTGGGCTATTTTGAGGGAAGCAGAAGGCTCACATATTCACAATGCACAAAACCCCCATTTTACCATCCAAAGACAAGGCAACTTTGTCTTGCCAGCAACGTGCGATTCACAGTTAGCTGAGATTCGATTACCCTGGGGACACCGCGTCCACTCCTGCCATGGCCAGCCCAAACTATCCCTCCCCTAACAGAGAAATCAGTATTCAGGCAGTCCTGCTGCAAAGGCAGGGCTACACCAGAAACAGAAGAAAGGTTAGAAGCGTATTTAAACACATGCATTAGATCATCGCCGAAGGTGGGGTAGGGACAATGGGATGTCATGTCCTCAGACTGTAAGAGAAGTCAGCAGAGATGGGTGAGCAGAGTCTGAGGTTCATCAGTTCACTCTGTCCCCAGAGCACCCAGCTCCTCCTTGTCCTGCAGGACCCAGCCACCCTTGGAGAACCTGGCAAGGACGGCGTCACTCTACAGCTCAGGAGTGGTGTCACTTAAAGCACACTGAAGACAACGCTATAGGAATGCATCCAACCTGCAAGAGGTCTGCAGTGTCCTTCAGCTGACAGGCGGGTTTCCAAAGCACCTCCAGCCTCTCCCCAGCACCACAGACATCAGTGACACCTTGGGTACCAGCCTGCCCAGCACCGGCTCCTGTCACCCTCGCTGCAATGAGCCCTGTCCAGAGCACCCACCACTGTGACCATCAGCCTCTTCACATCACTGTTCACACACCTCTTCCACAACACCCTGGCACGTGCCAGGCTCCAGCTCTACAAGCTGGTTGCAGGGATGGAGGTGCCTTAGACTACAACATATGTGGATGAAAACCCAAAGGCACACGTGTGTGATACATACGTCTACAGCATCAGCACACAGTGAAGGCTCCCAGTCCAGGGAGAAGCCTGGAGAGGCCCGATCCATTAACAAAACCCATTCCAAAAAGCCCCACAAACCCAACCGTGAGAGTGAGAAACAGCCACAGGTGCTGTGCAGCATCCAAACCTCGTTTAAACCAGCCTAACATCTTAGTCAGCTGCTCTAAATCCCAACTTCCATGCAAGTGCCTGGGCTCACCACACTGCTCACCAGCACTTATCCCATTATACCCATGATGTGAACCACTCCATCACAATGGGATCTGAAGGCAAACAAACTACTCCATCCCGTTTCTTTTCCAGCTGCTTCTGCACCCCCTTAGAAAACCAGGTTTCTCTTTGCAAAGCAGTCTCCTCACATCAAAGCAACTATATTCAGGGGATAGCTTGGTTGAGTTCTATTTGTTCCCCCTCCCTGCAGTGTTTGGAGAGCATCTTTGGCCTCCCACGTAAATTCCAAGTTTCATTTATTAAATACCTCGCTGGCATTTTCTTTCCACTTTCACACTGCTCGGTTAATATTACATTTGACATTCTAAGCTTTACAGATGGCAACAGAAGCAGAATGCTAAAAATAGCCTGCCAGGGAGACGGGAGGCTAGAAATAGGCTCCTGAACAACAGCAGCCCCAATACTCTCTGCCTGCCCCCATGTTTGGGGAAATGACAGCATTCAGGAGATGAGGAGGAGCAAAGGCCAGGCAAACGGGCGCCCATGGAGCTGTAGATGCTCCATCTGAGCAGCCCGGTGATGGGGATGGGGCACCCCTGTCCCAGCTCACTGAGCAAACCTCATCACCTCGAGCTGGAACCCGCCCCCATCGCAGCTCAATGTTAGAGGGGGACACACTAAAAATGAAGCCAGGGTGGTCAGGCTCCAAGGGCGCTGTGGAAGGTCCAGCAGTGCCTATCCCTGACCCCCAGCCAGGTTACGTGTCACCTGTGGCCACCTGTACCAGCTCCCGGTCACACGTGCCTGCACAAGCTCTCCCGGCCCTGCATGGGTTTGGTAATTCATCTGCAGACACATCAGCAAGACGATGAGTCAGTCCCAAGACAGGATCATGTCTCATCTCCTCCCTCGTGGGCTGCTGCAAAATTAGCGCTGGAGAAGAAGTGACAAGAGGAGAACGCTCAAAGCCTCCTGGCACCTGGATCGTGCACCAAGCAGGCACATTTTAATGACCCACAACAACAAAACACCAACAGCCCACGCTGTTTCTTTGGCTCTTTGTGATGTTCCTCGAGTGCTTTTGCCCTGTCGCATCCTCCACATCCCCTGCACTGCTGTCACCTTCCCGGGGAGCCTTTCATCTGGGAAGAAATCCTCCCACCACTCCTCCCCTAACGGGGCTGTGCCAACATGAGTTTTACCACGCACGAGTGCAGATTCTGCTATGAAGCATCAAACAACGCGTCCTGCCCTGCTGCTGGCACTGGTTTTGCTGGGATACACCAGCATCCTCCATCCAGCTGCTCGCCAGGGCAATACTGGGCAGCACTGATTTGTACCAGGGGAAGAAGGCTGAGCCTTGCTGTGTGAAGTAACTAAACCCACAGAGTGTGACGTGACATGCACCCACCCGTGATGAAGCAGTAGGAGCATCCTGGAGTGTGGCACTGCAGCTATTCCCTCCCAAGTGACAATCTTACCTACATTCACATTCTGGGTGTTAATACTCTCTTGCTGGGTCTGTCGGCTGGATGTTGTGGGGGTGGCTGGGGTTTGTTCTTTGTGGTTTATTTTAAGGCAGATTAATCAGCATTTAGTAACTCTATATAGGGAAATGAGCCTCCTCCACATCCACACGTGTCTCAGGCCAGGTATCGCTGGTGGCAGGCAGGGAAGCAGCGAGATGCCTGGACAGGGCAGAGGCAAAGCCTGCGGCACCCATCCGAGATGGAGCCAGAGGGGAACTGCCCCAGCCCTGCCTGCCATCCCACCTCTCGGCTTGCCAAGGGGACCCTTCCTTTTATTTCTGATGCATATTGCAGTGAGGAACAATATGAGGAATATTATTTCGGTGCCCTGGGAAAAATTAGCAAGTCAAATATTGGATCAGGCCTCCAGCATATGCCAAGGAGATTGCTTTGATCTTATCCACACTAAAAGCTCTATTATTGAATTTAAAGTCTGTGAACACATACCAGACCAATATACAATGCATATCTGAATACACATTTGAGAAGCTGAGGATGTTTTGACAAAGGGAAAAGGAGTATTTTAGCTGAAAGTATCAAAGTTACTGCATCAGTTGAAACACAAATGCCCTTCTTCATCTGGCGCAGTGGCTTTACTGACAGGGCACCCGCAGCCTGGGACCTGACTGTCACTTAGGAGAAACTCCACTCCTGGCCTGGCCTGGCAACTGATTGTGGTTTGATGGCAAAGCCCTGACTTCCCAGGGGATATGGTCCAGCACCAGCGCCCGGGCAGCATCAGGTGCAGCGTGCCGACACCCAGTGAACCTCATGGAGGAGGCTGTCCCAAAGGGCCACCCCCCGGCATGGCACTATCTGTGACAATGGGCACTGCAGGACAACCCCAACTTACCATTTTATTATTGATTTCGTGGAAATGAATTTCACAGACTTTTTCCACCACGTCTTCATTTTCAAAAGTTACGAAGCCAAATCCTGTTTAATAAAGAAACAAAAAGGGGAGGGGGGAAGAAAAACACGAGTTAAGTCCAATTTCATCCCAGTAAAGCATCACGTAGAGACTTGGGAAAACTTTATATATGGATATAGAAATACACCTCCTGTCTATGGAGCTGCTGCTGAACTTGCTGCAGACTAATGGAGGGAAGAAGCATTGTCTCTAGGAAAATGAATATGGTTCTGTTCCAGCTCTTCCATAGGATTTAATGGAGAATTAAAACCTCCTTATGGATTTTTTGATCCATCCTGCAGAATTTAATGGATAGTTACACCCCAGGTACATGATGGCTCAGAAACTACAATCAGGCCATATTTTTTTTCACACCTTATAGGTTTTTAAGAGCAATCTCGACAAAACCCAATTATATTTCTATGGAACCGTATTGATTTTATCTCTTGTTTAATTCCACAGGACCTCTCCATTAGAGCTGACTCATTACGAGACCCAAAGAAATAAAAATACGGGAAGACAGGAGATGACTCCTCATTTAGAGGCAAGGAAAATCCCACCCCACTGCTTCCCCACGTATGCAGCAGCACTTTGTGCTTCCACTGAGGGGACACCAAAGGTCCCCACTGCTGTGTGCTGGGGCCAGCAGCGCAGCCACAGCAGCTCCATCTGCACGGATGCAGCCGGCCCCGCGGGGCAGCGCGCTCCGGAGGTGGTTATTTGTCCCTTTCTTCCTGAATTACTTCCTCTAATACCTCATCAGGACATCCTGAGGCCTCCAAGAAACCATTACGTTGAAGGCCTCTGATCTAATAATTCCTCTCTTCTCTGCTGCTGCTTCAAAGGAGCCCTGGATTTGGGCTGGTTTAGGGCCGTTTGATGCCTGCTGCCTGCCTGTAGCTGTACATGGGATTTGCTCTGCTGGGGCCACATGAAAGAAATCTGGCAGCCCACCCCAGCTCTACAGTCATGTTCCTGAGCAGAAAATAACAACCAAGCTCCCAAACAAAAACCAAGCCAATGTGCTACATGTCTGGCAAAGGCTCGACGCAGGACTCAACACTGACACCAACAGAGCTAATGCAATCTTAAAGATGTGACTAGAAGATGAACTTCAGACTCCAGACTGCACTGGAGATTCCAACACTGTTTCCAACACTGGTGGAACAGCACCTGATGTCTTCCTCACCCCAGGCTCCCAGCCAAAGGAGCAGAGCTGGGGCATCCCCAGCAGCACCCCTTACCCCTGGAAAAGGGGTAGGAATCCAACACTTCCAAGTGTTATTGTCCATGTATTCCATAGGTAGCTCTGCACTGTGAGCATCCCTCCGCTCAGCCACGCACAGCATTAGAGCAGCTGGTCTTTGCTGTCTCCTATCTGCGTTTCCATCCATCCGCTGCCCATCCCAGTCCCCCGGCTGTTGGGGAACACAGCAGTGAACCCTCACGTCCAGCCCACTTTGCTATGGACAATTCCCATCTGCAATCAGCACCAGCAACTTGCTCCCCCCAGCAGACCCAGTGCTCCCAGTATACGCCCAGCAACACGTACTTTCTGTGCCAGGGTCCCAAAGCAGTACTTCATCATTCTAAACACACACAATTTGCTGCAGTGGGGCACAGCAGAAATATTAAACCAGAAGGGTTGTTTTTTTATAGCAACCTACAGGTACAAGATGTATTTTGCAGGCTACAATATTGGAAGCTGTGAAGTACATTTCAAGGTGAGCTCTGAACAGCTCCCAGACACGTTGTTTGGGAATGCACAGTACGTGTAGTGATGGGGAATGCTCCCATCCCTCTTTGGACCCTCTTATTGGGGGAAAACCCAGCAGAAATGGTTTCTAGAGCTCCTCCACGGCACAGCACATCATCCGGCAGCACCTCAGGCTCAACCCCAGCGCTCAGAACACTGGTTTCCTTTGCACCTACAGCATGTAGCAGCTTGAAGTATTTTACTTAACCCCAGTGCTCGTTTGCCTTCTAAATTACTCCATTTAAAGCTACCTGAAACAGACCCATAGTTAAACTAGAATGTCTGTGGTTAACTGTCTGCGTACGGCATCCCAGGAATCCCGGAGCACACGGTGCTGGAGCCGGGACCGGCACCTCGCCAGGGACCAGCAAAGGGACCGGTCCAGGGCTACAAGTCATTACTTGTTCGAGCACCAGCAACATCTTCATCATTAGCAGCTCATTAGCGAGTTCTGCAGTTGAGGGCTTTCTCTTTCAACTGTAGGCAGGTCTCAGTGCCAGGATGGAGGGGAGAGAGGGAATTTAGAGGAGATCAGCCTTAATATGCCTACCACCGCCAGAAAGCCCACTGCAGTCATTACACATTTGGACCCAGGAAAGAAGTTTCCTGTTCTCATCCCACTCCATATGGCTTAAACACAGGTTTATCAAGGAATCAGTTGTCTGATTACATCGGATACCCACCCAGCTTTCTGCAGTACAGATTTCATCACAAGAATCAACCCCTAGGTGTCAACACTCATTTGCAGGTCTTCAGAAGATCAATGCCACTTCCACACAGGCCAGTCTAGCTGGCTTGGCAAGGAAAATCATGGGATGGGGTCTGTAAGGAAACCCAACTCCATCTTTTATTCCTTCCAGCAGCACACGGGGCACTCCATCCATAGCCAAAGGCTTATGGTATTTTACCTTTACTATTACCAACATCTTAACTGATTGGGAAGCAACCAGAGGATTTTAACCTACACACATACAGGCACTTAAAACCCACTGGATGCTATTCAAGAGATGCCACTGCTCCTTCAACGAACAGTCTCCAAGAGATCATATGCCCCAGACTGAAAAACTTCATAAGAGTCATGGGCAATGGGTCACTTTTTGCCTCAGACTGTAGTAGGTGTAATACTTGACTTGTAATAGTCGCACACACACATACACACACACAATTACCGCGTGCATGCCTTATTAGTTAGCATAATGAATACATGCTCGATTGAAATTACCCAAACTCTCAGAAACCTGCCTGGACTGAGCAGACAATTATTTCTGCTGAGAGGTACTAAGAGTCAACAAAAAAAAATGGCTCTGGGAAAGTGTATGGAGAAGATTAACACAAAACAAAGGCGGCTCTTTAAAATGGTGACAGAAATAGGATTCCGGTTGTCAAGGAGCACCCATTTAAAAATGAAATTATACCGCATCCTTCTGAATGAAGCTATTATTGGAAGCTAACAAGCTCTATTTAAGAGATAAGCATTTAACAGAGTCAAACGGTTGGGGTTTTTATTCAAATGAATAAAACTGAATATTCATTTGAATAATCTTTTCTGTAAAAGAAAAGACAAAGAAGAGGGAAAAAATAAAGTAAGAGGCAAACGGATGCCCCCCAAACGAGAGGCTGCAAGCCAAACCTGATGACTGAAGGAAGCTGAGACCTGCATTTGTGACCTTCAGCTTAAAAACCCTTCCTTTAGCATCGGCTCAGAAAACAGAGTCATTTCATCCTCTTCATCTGGTGGTTAATGGGCACCATCAAGCACCCAGACAATGCGCAAGGATCATCCTGAGCCCAGATGGGACGACCCAGACAATGCGCAAGGATCATCCTGAGCCCAGATGGGATGATCTCCAAAGGGAGAGGGTTTGCTCTACCTGGGCACTTCTGCTGTTCCCATCCAGTCCAACCTCGCTGCCTCCCATGGCAGCAGGTTTTGGTAAGAGGAGGGCTCATTCCAGCATCCCAGGTCTGCTCCAGCCTGGTCCAGCTGTGGAACTGCTCCTGCCCACAGCAGCACACAATGAACAGGAGTCCACTGCTTCAGCTGGACTTCTTTTACTCATCTGCTAATGAGAACCTGAAATACTTGGGGGTCAGTTACCAGAGGATGCAGCTGCCTTCAGTTGAAGTACCCCAAGCTGAAGGTCCTTGGTACCCTGCAGACCAGGTCCCTTTTGGGCTGGGTGCCTGCAGAACAGGGCTTTGTCAATGGTGACTCACAAAAGGGGATTTCTTCACTAGGAAACAGCATTATTCAGAGGGGAGGGAAAATCTGGTTATTTCTTAGCACAAGGCACGATAGTCCCAAACAACCAAATAACCCCGAGTCCCCCCGAAAACGTTTACAATGAGCCCAGAGACACAACCCAGGTACTTGACATCCGACGGCGCAGAAGACATCCTCTGACCCACCTTAGTTACACCAAGAAGCCCCTCTGATCCAGAGCCTTGCTCAGCCAAGAAAGCCGAACAGCACTGGGGGGATGGCTCTGGGCAGTGAAGCAGAGCTCAGCTGCAGCACTTTCTGCTATGGTATTCCAGAACTAAGAGAAACATTGTTCAAATGAGTGAAACCATCAAAAGATTAAAATGATTTTAAAAACATTGGGTAGAAGCCATAAATAATATTAAGAACCATGCTGGAGATACCAAATGTCAGTGCTCCCGAGTTCTGCATTTTGGGTTTTTTCACACTCGAACCAACTATATTTCACACCTTTGTCATCACTTGAGAGGTTTTATGTCAACCCCAGTAAAATACAGCTGAGATGACGACACCATTGCTATGAAATATATCTGCTTTCTCTTGCTTGCTGGCAGCAACTTCCCCACAGCCCGAGGTTTAGCTGTGTGCTCAGTGTTATATATTGCAGCTGCGTCTGCACACACAGAGGACGTCACTCATCAGGAGGATCGCACGAAAGCAGCTTACCAGGTTAAAGGTCTCGCTCTTTCAAACCTATGCTGGCATTAAAACAAGGAAAACAAGGTGATTGCATCCTGCACCAGAGAGGTTAAACCCAGGTTAATGCTAGGGTGAGCCACTGACAGGCTCTGATGAGCAAACTGGGACCCCTGAGCCAAAACCACTGCCATCAGAGGCACGCACACCACTGCCCGCTGCAGGCACTGCTGCTCTGAGCAGAGGCTCTCCATCCACCAGGAAAGATGCTCTGGAGGGGGAAGGCGCTGGGACAAGAGCTGGAGGAGTCTGATTCAGCTCTCAGGCTGTCCTGGGGTCACCCGACGATGTGGAGAGAGTCGCTTTGTCTC